GTAGAACTCTTGAGGACACTGGTGTAGATTTTATGAACAAAACCTTATGTGCACGTGAAGTAGCACAAACAATCAACAAATGGGATGTCTTATTAAAAAACTTCTGCACAGCAAGAGAAACCACCAACTGTGTGGAGACAACCCAAATGTGGGAAATAATTTTCACCAGCTATTCCTCAGAAAAGTCTACTATCTAGAATATAAAAAGAACTTAAAAAATCAGACCTCCCAAATTTAAAGATCCAGTCCAAAAATGGGCATCTGAAACAAACAGGCATTTCTCAGACAAAGAAGTACAAGTAGCAGATAAACATATGAAAAAATGTTCAACATTACTGGTCTCTCAAGAGATGCAGATAACAACAAACTGAGATTCCACCTCATCCCAGAAAGAATGGCTGCTATCATGAAATCAACCAATAACAAAGGCTAGCAGGGTTTCGTGGAAAGTGGAACACTGCTCTACTGCTGGTGGGAGTGTAGACTAGTGCAACCACTATGGAAATCAGTATGGAGATACCTCAAAGAACTAAGATTAGAAGTCCCATTTGATCCAGCTATTCCCCCAAAGAATTAAAAGAATCATATCAAAATGATCTATGTTCACCCATGTTCATAGCTGTACAGTTTGTAATAGCTAAAACTTGGAAGCAGCCCAATTGCCCATCAATGGGAGCCTGGATAAAGAAATTTTTTTTCTAAAATGGAATACTACTCAGCCATAAGAAATTAGTAATTAGAGATATTTATAGGTATAGGTATGCACATTGAGGTGATACTCAAGTGAAATAAATAGGACACAAATGTAAATACCAAATAGTTGCTCTAGTGTGAGAAACTGAAAATGTAAATAAGGACTAAAAAGTATGATAATGTGAAATAGGAAGAAAAAGCACAAAGGGGAAGGGAAAATGGGGAAAGGGAATGGGATTAATGAGAAAACATAAAAAAATGTAAAAAAAAAGTCTTTGTAGAATGGGAGAGAAGGAGGGGGTTGAAGAGAGGGCAGGGGGACGGGGAAAAATAAGAGCCAAGATGGATTATGTAAAGGTGCAAATTTCCAATGATGAATGTTATTACACTGTATACCTTAAATGTACCAATAAAATTAATTTTTTAAAAAGTTTGAAATCCATTTGCAAACTTACTATCATCCTCTGAAAATCAATTTAACTATTCTTTGCATTGTTGGATATCTGCTACTAAAATAGAACCCAAACTTAAGTACTCTTGGGACCTTTCTTAAGGGCAAGCAGGATGAGCTGCAAATTGGAAATTTGAGAGGTAAAAGAAGCCCCATTGGTCCTCTAAAGGGAGTGGGATATTCCATATTAGGAACTGATTTCTTTGAGAAGTACCTTGACTACCTTCATAGCCCTTTCTGAATGGGCAGGTGTATCAGTCTATGTTCACTACAGAAACAAATTTAATATAAGATATATAAATACACCAGGATTTCCAAGATAGGATTATAATGGTTGCTGGAAAGTCATTTGAGGAAGAGTGTAAAAAGGTTTACACACTGGAGATCTGAAGGTTTCAGCTGTGGCAGGATCCCTCCCAAAGGAATGTGATGGGGGCCTTCTCAGAACAAAGCAAGACTACATGACATAATTAGTTCCTAGGTATACATGTAGTTCTAGCATGGCTCTGTAACCTAGACTGTACCCAATCAGGCTGTAGTTAGTGTGCTACCATATAAAGCAAGAACTGTATAAAAGACAAAACTTCACCAAGCTTGGGGCTCAGCCTTTAGACGTGAATCCACCGAGTGAATGACAGCATAAATAAACATTACTTCCTGGAAATACCCTTGGTGTGCCATCTTTCTATGTGAGAATACTGCTACACAGTTAATAGTGGAAGATCTGGAGCTCACTGAAGAATCCTATGGGAGGTGTGAGACTTTTTCAGGAGGCCCAAGAATCTGTGCTGGAAGGCTGAAGAGTCTGTGGACATGCAAGGTACAGTAAAGAGTAGTTCCTCTGAAGAAACACAATCAAGGCTTTCTCCATTGTTCTCCTTTTCATTCCATTCAGGCTACAAGCCTATTGGTGCCACTCACACCCAGGGTGGATCATTGCCTTCAGTAAATCCTTTCAACCACAAGGAAAACTATGGAGAACTACACTAATCCAAAAAGTTGGTCAGTTTCTTACTCATGTTCACACAACAGTTAACTATCATAGTAGGGAAGGCCTAAATCCAGCCTGAGAAGGTATATATTATGAACAATATTTGTGTAAATTCCCCTTATGGTGGCATGTGGGTTAAATCTAATTGCCAGCCCTCCCCAAGGTACCTCCTTCTCCTCTGTAAAGGTTCTAACAAAGGAAATGGGTTGGAATCGCCAGAGTTATTGTAGACACAGTGTGGGAAGCTTTGCAGACCTGTCAGGTGGTTGACTACTCTTAGTCCAATAAAAATTTCAGTGACCATTTCCAATGTAGCATTTCTTCCTTTGTGGAATCATGAAAGGGTTTTATAGTCTTCCGCTATGTCCCTTGAGAAAAGACCAGATTGTTTTCTAACTACTACCAGACACTTTTTAATTCACCTTTGTCCTAAGGTCCATTTATTTATCTTTGGGGCATGGGGATATAGACTGGTTTTAATGGTTCTTTAGGAACTGGGAATAAGGGGCTGCTCTTTGTGTCCCGCCTAATCCAGTCAGCCTTTTCATTTCCTAAGGAGCACTTAGATAGATATGTCTCTTTGGAATGCCTTATAATGCATGACAGTGACCTGTTTGGAAGGATAGCCTCTGGCTGTAGTATTTCCTGCTTGTGCTTTATAGATGATTTCATATTTGTATATCATATTAATTTTTTAAATGTGTTAGACTCAGGAGCAGGAAAGTTCATTTAAATTTTAATGGAAAATTAGGATTAAACCAAGACATGAAAATTGGTAGAATATAGTTTGGTTATTAAGATATTTACAATCTAATGGGGGCAAATATGACCAGCTTAATTTTGTGTGCTTCCTTATGCATGCTCTCGTGATATTTAGAGATAACTTAAATAGCATACTTTGTAAGTCTATAGCCAGCTGGAAGGAAGAAAAACTGTTAATTTCTTTTAAAGAGAGTATTCTGAGCAATTCTAGGGTTAACACTTTAATGTCACATAGATGTTTTTCTTGTCTTCAAGTCAATTTCCTCCTTTTTCCACCTGAGTAATCACTGCTACCATTTCCCAATTTCCACAATGGTAGCTGTTTTTTGTTTTTTGTTTTTTTCTTTAACATTAAACAGGACTTTGAATCTTGGGAATGAAGCATGAGGGAGTTACAACATAGAGAACCTCAGGCTACATTTGCGTCCCAATTTCAACCCCTACACAAAGCCACCCAGCGGATACCTCTTCCTACCTAGCAGCTAGCTAAAAACCAGGGACAGCTTATTCCTTGTCGGAGGTAGGAGTTTTGAGTGAGTGCCTCTTTCCTAGGGATCTAAAGAATGGAAAATTACAGGGCATGGTTCATCTCCTTATCTTTATTCCCAGGGTCTGACTAAATTTTAGAAAGATCAATAGTGGTACAATTCACTTCCCTTGGGTAATGTTTTAGCTCTGGCCATAGGTCAGTAATTTTACTCAGTCTCAAACTTTCTCAAAGACAGCAGAACACTATCATTCAACAGCCCATTTCCCTTCATCTGTATTATTCATTTTTAATTAACTAGTACTGAAGAATATCCTAAGAAAATCAGGAATTCTATTTCTTCTGCAATCCAATGCTCCCCAGCCCCTGCAGGTAATTGTTCAAAGGGCAACATAGGCAATGAGAACAAAATTTAGAGGTAAGCAAACTGTAAAGTCACATATTTCTTTCTTAAACAGTTTTCAGACTTACAACTGCATCAAGAACAAACTATTCATAGTTCAAAAGAACCTAATTTCTTACCCAGAATACCTGATTTTCCCCAGTTCCTTTATGAGAGCATTCAACGAACAATTAGGGACAGATGGATTTAAAAAAAATATCTATTATTTAGTAGCTGTCTTAAAAGGAAAAGGTTACTTGCAACTTATAGAAACTAATAAAGTATTTTCTAAATAATGAAAAAAAAGAATAAGATAAGACTACAAGAGCAAGAAGCAATTTAAATATGTTGAGGGACCATTTTCATCTTCAGAATTAAGGATCATTTTAATCTTACATCACTGCCTTTTCTCTTTTACTTTCCTTTTTAGTTTTATTTTAGGATTCCCTATTTTTAATGTTCATACAGAGATTTCTTTAACTGAAATACCGAAGTTTCTCTGGTGTAAAAAACTATAACAGTACACAGGATCCTAATGAGATAATTAAGAATGTGAAATAGGAAGTAAAGGGCTAAAGGTGTAGGGAAAGTGGGAAGGGTGGGGGAAAGGTAATAAGGGAGAGGAAAAAAATATGAGAAACTGAAAAAATGGAAGTAAAGTGTTTTAAATGGGGAGGTGAGTAGGGGGTGAAGGGAAGGCAGGGACAAGGGGAAAAAATGAGAATCAAGACCTATTATGTAAAGGTACAGAATCCCAATGATGAATGTAACTGTACTGTATACCTAGATTGTACCAATAAACTCAATAAAAATAAAAAAACAATTACTCCCAGCAGCTTTCACCACCTTTCCTCCCAAATTTAGGGTTTCCTGTGAACCAGAACACTTCTTTAATAAGCATATTTAAAACAAATGCTTTAGGGCGAAGAAAAGGTACGTAAGGCATGCTCAAATGCTGTCGTGCCCACCTCACCTCCCCCCCAAAAAAGTCTAATTTCCTCGCCTTCGCCATTTACATACATAAGGTTTATCCTGTCTCACTAAGCGCTGCGGCTGTTTCCTGTTTTACTGGAAACTCCTCCCTCACGAACTGATTCATCTCCACTCCTAATGGCAGCACAACGCTTACCAAAATGAATGGATTTGTAGAAAGGAGGCGGAAAAAGGGTTAGGTTTTTTCGAGATGTTACTTGGAGAGCTAAAATGGTTACAAAACAACAAAACGCACTCAAACCTGGACAGATGCTCACTTTCAATGGGTTCTCAAATAAGGGTCAGAACTGCACATTACGCCCCGCCCACCGGCAACAGACGTGAAATCTCCTTCTGGAAAACCGGAAATACCCGGTCACGCCCGCGCATGCGTGTGTCGGTCATCTAGCACTCCCTACACCAGGTCATCCAGCGGGAAAGCCGGGGAATTTAGGCCTTCGTTTCCGGATTCAGGCCAAACCCGCGCCCCACGCTCCCACGCATGCGTCCTCTCTTGCGCCTAACTCTCTGAGGCGGGGCTAAAAGAGGATTTTCTTTTCCTTTTCTCTTGCTCCCGCCCCCCTCTCCTTCCCCCCCTGCCACGTACTAGGCCTGAGCTTTCGCTAGGCTTGTTGGGTCGGTGCGATTGGCCCGGCCGA